CAGCAGGATCTCCTTCCTGCTAGATCTTCCTGCAGTCCGCCCTGCCAAATCTTCACTTTGCTGCAACCAAAACTCATTATGTGGTTTCAGGGGGCTCTCACGATTTCCTTCTAGGAAACCGCTCTCATTGGAATCTTGAACCTCCCTACTACAGGCCCTCCTATGTCTGCATTCTTTCTCTATAGTAGCAACAACAGGATCTCCTCGTGATCCCATAAGCAACAAGCTGTAGCAAGCAACAACCAATCCTCTCCAAGTTCTCCAAGCCCTCTGCCTGATCTCTTCCTCTTGTCCGGATCTTTTTTTATTGCGGGCTCTCAATTGAGTCTCTGCCCACATCCTTTTTGGCTAATCTGTAGGCCCTCCTCCGGAGCTCCTCCTATTCTTCCGAGCACCAGCTTCTCCCTACATGAGCTTCTTTATTCAAATTCGTTGCTTGAATTTGCTTAGCAACAAACCTTCCTCCACAGGAAATTATTCCTTGCTGACAGTCGGACCTATCCCTTGATGGCTTTTCCTACCATTGAAACTCCCTCCAACGGCCTTTCCTGCCGCCAGAACTTTTTGCGGTCTTTCCTGCAGCCAGAACTTTTTGCGGACATATCCGCTGTCGACTGGACTTTCGGACTTAATCCTGCAGCTGGTTCTATTCCCTGCAGCCTTTCCCGTCGTCAGACCTCTCTCATGTAGCTTCTCTCGCCATCGGATCTACCTCAATAAATTTTTCTCTGCAGATTTTGGTCAGCTCTTCCCAAGGAAAGCACTGCTCTTTCCTGCAGCATTATTGCAGCCTTCTTCGAGCACTACAGCTTTCCTGAGCACTGTCGTTGGCCTTCTGCAACTTTCCTGCAACCTCTCTGCAGCCTCCTTACAGCTTTCCTGCAACCTCCCTGCAGCCTCTTTACAGTTATCCTGCATCTCTTCTGCAGCATTCTTGTTGCTTTCATGCAATTATTAGTCAATCGGTGATTTATGAATTCATCACTTGAGCTTAGCCCTTGTCCAGACCACTCTCAGACTCCAGCCACTCTCAAGCTTCGGCACCTCAAGCTTCGACACTTTTAGGGTTCGACATTCTCGACTTTGGGACATTCGGCTTCGAGACTTACGGTTTGAGGATTGTTGGAATTTCTTGTTGGCAAATTGATGTTACATGTCCAGCCAGCATCCCACAGCCGATGTTTTCAAATTCAAGTTGAATATAGTTTTCAACAATGTTCAACTTGAGGGGGAGTGTTGAAATATTGAATTTAAATTACAAGATTTATTGTCTTTCCTGATTAGACTTATAATATAAAATAATTTATTCCTAGAAAAATTTATGAGGAATAAATTCTTTCCTTAATATAAGAAGATATTTTCGTTTCATATATTAAGAATTATTTGTTTTCATATTTTATATTATTTTCTATTATCTCTTAATAATTAATATGAATTAATTATTGAAGATATCAGTTGATATATTTTTCTTTTCATATCATTTCATTTTTTATTATAGGATTCTTGTGGATTCTTGTAAGGGTTATTTATACGCCCATTCATATCAATAAAAATATTTCGAAGTATTCCACATTATTCTGAATTTCAACAAGAAAAAAATAAAGAAAGCCAAAAATTTATAAAATCAAATCTCACGAGAAAATATTGAAATTTCAAAATAGAATTATATTAAAGTTCAGAATGACCAAGATATAAATTAAATATAGATTGAGAGTTTGTTTGGGGTAGTTGCAGCTTATTGAATAATCTGCTGATAAGCTGATTAAAAATAATCTGTTGATAAGCTAGGTGCGGTAGCTATTACAAATTTTTATTTTTTTTGAATAGCCAGACCGCATCCAGAAATCTGTCACCACACCTAGACAGGTGCGGTGTGAAAATGATGTTTTCAACGTTTTGAAAAAACATAAGCTGTCAAAACTCAGTTTACTCAAATAGGTCAGGTACATTTTAAAAACGCCACTGCACCAAATAAGCTGACTCAAATGTACCCTGAGTTTCAAAACAAAGTAGGATAACATTTTTGTTCAAAAAGAATTATATGTCCTTATCAGTAAAAATTTAGAAAAAAAATAAGATATCTTAAGCATAACCCAAAATGCCGCATCGAAAAAGAGAGAGATCCCCTGGTTTTAAAATAATCTAACAATAATAATATAACTTTATCGTAGGGGAACATGTAGGTATTTTGAAAACGTAATTAAAGAACAATATCTCTCATGTCATAAGCTTTTATCTCATACATGATAAAATCAATTTAGGGTCTGTTTGGGGCAGTTGCCGCTTATTCAATAATCTGCTAATAAGCTGATAAAAAATAATCTGCTGATAAGCTAGATGCGGTGGACATTAGAAATTTTTAATTTTTTGAAAATTTGGACAAATGCCTGAAAGCTGTCACCGCACTTAGATAGGTACGGTGTGAAAACACTATTTTCAGCGTTTTCAAAACGCATAAGTTACCAAAACACAGTTCACTCAAATAGTTTAGGAGTGTTTTCAAAACACCACCGCACCAAATAAGCAGCCCAAAACGGACCCTTAGTTAGAATTTCTGTGAATCATTAATGCAATAAATGCTCTAAGGATGAAATTTAATTAACAAAAAATAGTTCTAATAAACTAGAAAAATTGGAAAAATAGAAGGTGAAAAGCGAAAAATTTTATGGAAATTTAAAATAAATGCCTCCCAATTCTTATGCATTTACATATTTAAGACACTGGGCTATATTTACATTTATAAAATTTTAGTATGACATAATTATGTATTTAAGTGTGTACTTTATTTTTAGAAAGCTAGTAATAGTTATCGAGAGTAGAGCGTTATAAGAATGTCTTTGTGTTGCACACTTGAAAAGTTGACACGCACAAATAAAAGAAAACTAGCCAAGAGAGAATAACAGATGTTCTTGCGTGCAAAATCAAAAGGGCCAATAATCACAAGATTTGGTCTAGTTGAAATAATTTCACTATGTCGATATAAGTTTAAAAATTTTACAAAATCTTGAATAGTCGGAAGCAATATTACACGGCCTCAATGTTGCTTCCGCTTGAAAAGTGGCAGAAATTGCTGAAGAAGTGGTGGTGGCCCAATTGTTGTGACAAAAAGCCAACGGTGGAGGTCGAGTGTCAAAAAGTTTGATGCAAGTGTTGACGATAGTTGTGGAGATGGTGATGATCGAGCAACAGATGTCCAAGGGTGGCGATAGTGGTACTAAGATGACAACGACAGTGTTCCAATGTTAATAGTTGTGGAAGTCAGACAGTGATAATCTGCTGACGGCGACAGTCAAATGGTGGTGGTTTGGTGGTGATGAAGTTGGTCTGGCGGTGGCTAGTAATGGTGATCCAGCTGTGGTTGAGGTTCGACGACGGTGGTCGAGGTTTGACGACGGTGGTTGTCTAACAATGGTTGTCGGGGAGTTGCGGTCCAGTGGTGGCAGTAACCAGACGATGGTGGTTCAGTGGCGGTGAATGGGTTGAAGTGGCTGGCGGTGGCTACAGTGATTGATAGTGTTTCTTATCTATATTGATTACATCATAACCACAAGGTCATCTAATCAAACTACTAACATCACAAAAGATTTTCTGCACTCAAATTTTCTTAATAATTTCCTGGACTCGAGATTGCAAAATCAAACAATGTTATTTTTATTTGTAGCTTTTAAAAGATAGATGTTTGCTTAGTTGCATACCTAACAACACTCCAACAGACCATCAAAGGCATCTTAATGCTTTTGATGGAGATCTCCCATCAAACCCCTTAAAATGCAGACGCTTTATTGGATGTCTGATTTACCTCACATTCATAAGGCCATATATAGCCTTTGTCATTCATAAACTTCGGCAATACTCTTTCCGATCATACAGGTCACACATTACAACAATTTATTATGTCCTTAAATTTATCAAGTCGGTGCCAAAACATGGAATTTGTTTACTTCATATACATTGCAACATAAAGATTTCACAAATGTTGATTGTGTCTTGTAGTGATATAAGAAAATCAATATCAAGATATTGTATCTTTATTGGAGACTTTTTAGTTTCTTGAATAATATCCTGATCATCCATCAAGATCGAATATAGGGCCCATGCCACAAATTTTAGTGAGTTTACTTAGCTAAGTTAACTTCTACAAGACATTGATATACTCATACAACTTTCAATTATCATTTTCTATGATAATCAAGCCATCATATATATAGCTACCAGTCCGATTTTCATGAATAACATAACACATCAAAATTGAATACCACTTCATTTGAAACAATGTGATGGATGAAACTGCCAGTCATGCTAATTCGATCCAAATGACTCACCAAAAAAAATTAAGAAAAAAAATACTATGGCTTGACCTTGTTAGTTAGTTGGCCAAACACCATGACACAAAACCAACTTTCATGTCCTTCTTTACTTTCTTGTACCCTTATTTCAACTATAAATATATAGGAAGGTTTACAGAGGTATCAAATATGTAAACATATTGAATGATATGTATGTAAATACCCCGTATATATATAATTTCATCTAAATGTGTGGGACAATCCCTCCTTAAAAGCTTCATCCTCTTTTTTCTTCCCTCTTTCCATCTTGATTCATTTCTTGCAAGAACAAGAGGAGCAAAAACATTATGAAAATATAAAAAAAAAAGGTTAGACAAACGACTTTCATACAAAAAAATCAAATTTTTAATACTGAGCTAAAGTAGGATAGACTTTGGATAGAAAAGAAAAGAAAAGATCAAATGTCACAGAAAGATTTCTTTCCAGTGAAATTATTCAAAAAACCTTTTTTCCAACCTAAATAATCTCAAATATTCGAGAAAAGAAGAAAGAAATTCTTCAACTTGCTGCTTTTATTGATCACATGTGATAATTGTCGATCAGTTACTTCTGAGCCACTCAATAAAAGCTTGGAAACCGGAGAAAAGCAACAAACCGGCCAACGTTACCTCCACCTTCTTTATCACTCTGTATATATAGAGGGAGAGAGAGAGCAACACAAAACTAAAAATCGTGACTTTCTTCCTCACGCGCTGAAGATGCGAACGCAAACCCAATCTCAAATGGCTGCAAATGGCAGTTGGAAAGTTGGGCCGACAATCGGTTTGGGTGCCACCGCAACCGTCTCCCTTGCCGCCGAGTCCAATTCCGGTGATCTCTTCGCTGTCAAGTCGTCCCTCATCTCCCGCTCCGCTCTTCTTCAAAAAGAACACAGCATCCTCTCCTCCCTCTCCTCTCCGCACATCATCTCCTGCCATAGCTTCGCTAACTCCGGCGAATTCTCCAACCTGTTCCTCGAGCTCGCCGCCGGGGGAGCTCTCTCCGCTCTAGCCGGCCATCTCGACGAGCTCAAAATCCGATCTTTTACTCGGCAGATTCTTCTAGGGCTCTCCTACATCCATTCAAAAGGCATCGCCCACTGTGATGTAAAGGGAAGCAATGTTCTGCTATGCTCCGATGACCTCGTAAAGCTTGCGGATTTCGGTTGCGCGAGGTGGGATGGTGATGGAAATCGGTTGGTGATGGGGACGCCGGCGTACATGGCTCCAGAAGCGGTGAGAGGAGAGGAGCAAGGGATCGCCGGCGATGTGTGGTCACTTGGGTGCACGGTAGTGGAGATGGCTACAGGGAAGTCACCGTGGCCTGAAGCTGCAAATCCAGTTGCTGCCATTCACCAAATTTCGTTTTCCTCTGATATTCCGGCGATGCCGGAATGGGTTTCCGATGAAGGAAAGGACTTTGTTTCCAAGTGCTTGATGCGTGATCCGGAGGAGAGGTGGACGGCGGAGCAGCTTCTCTGCCATCCATTTGTTTTGGAAGAAGAGGAGCTCTGCTCCAGTTGGAAGAAGGGAAAGTGGGTCTCTCCCAAGAGCACCATGGAGTTTGATTTATGGGACTCGGAAACAGAGGAGGATGAGCAGGAAAAGGAGGAAGAAGTATTATCTTCAGAGGAAGTATACATAACAGAAGGAATCCGGCAGCTTGAATCGCCGCCGGCGAACTGGGGATGGGATGATAGTTGGATTGAAGTCAGAACAAGCTACGCCGAAAGTGATGAGATTGAGATTTCGGATAACAGTGAATGTTCGTGCAGCGGATTTGTTGAAAACGGGTTTGAAGATGTGGGTTTATGGAGAGAATCAAAAGCTGCGGAGGTAGAAGAGTTGGGCTCTGTTTCTTTTGCTGGTGAAGCCGAAGCAGAGCAAGGAACAGAGCATGTATGGAGTAGATGTAATTGTAATTTTGATGATACAAATAAATGCCAGATTTCATATTGGTTCATTGCATTCTTTTCATTGTTTTATCAGTTGGTAATTTAGTGTCCCAAAATCTTAATAAGTTATTGTCATATCATCTCAGATATTTAAATGGTTAACTTTAATATTATGGCACCGAAAAATATATGTTGAATGGATCTGGTAAAGTGTGTGCATGAAAAATCTAAAAGGTGAACCATCTCTAAGGTTATTATAATGATATTGCATATAATTCTTCCCCTAGATTGTTATTAGAAGAACATGTGTCAAGGATGCTTTTTTTTTTAGGTTGGTTAGGTTCTTAGAACAATGGAACACTTCTCAGAGTGAGCTTGAACTAATAATTAAGAAGATCTCATGTAAGGAAATCGGTGTAATTAGCATTGGCTAACAATTTATGACCTTATGAACAATCTAAGATATTCTCCACTATTCCTCAATCTTTTATTCTCTATGAATTTTCTCTTTTCTCTTTAGGCCAATCAATTTACAACTCACTCACCATACAATTTCTTGTGTAGCCAAACACCACGAATTCTAGAACTTAACATTTAGTACATGTTATTGAGCTTCATCATTCTCCAAACATTACCTAATGTTGTTGAATCCTAAATTGCCTTTTCAAGAACATGTCTCGAGAGTAAAGCTCATTTATTTGGTCAAGTTTGCAATAAAAAATAGGATTCTACTACACAAAAACATTTAGTCCAATTGTCAAGATGCATGTTCTTAGAAATCTAATTACATTCGCTATTATATTACTTGTTTGTTTAATATCATAACTAAGATGATAACGAGGGAGGAAAAATTTAAGGTGCCACATAATGATTATTAACTTTTGGTCATCACTAGTAGTCTTTACAATCAGTAGGACACATCTTATATCTAACATTAAAAGAATGGAATCTTTACTAAATGTACGTGCTTCTTAATTCTGCTGACACATCATTTTAAATGTAAGTTTTACTAAATAGAAAGTCATCACTAGTAGTCTTTACAATCAATAGGACACATCATATATCTAACATTAAACGAATGGAATCTTTACTAAATGTATGTGCTTCTTAATACTGCTGACACATCATTTTAAATGTAAGTTTTACTAAATAGAATAATTTAATAAAAATGAAAATCAATAAATATATAAAAAAAGGGAAATTTACATGCATACTACACAATTCCGATGTAATTACACATCTAACAAAAAATTTAATATTTTCACTTGTAACACATTGGTAATATAAAGTTATGCATGAAAATGAATAATTCACTTTTAAAAAGATAACGATGAAAATAATTTCGATGTGCTGTTAAAAGCTTGAATTGTGCGTATGTAAATTTAAATGATAGGTGTTGGTCACATAAATACATAAGAATTGTGTGGTATGTATATAAGTGTCTCTTTAAGAAACTAATAAACATACCATGCATTATAAGTTGATTACATGTCGAAAATGGAATTTCAAGACATTACGAAAGAAGAATGTAACAAGGCCTAGGGAAGGAATTCTTTGAGTGGTTAAAAAAATTTTTATGTTGTCAAATAATGTAATACTCGACATCATCTTATAAATATTTTAAACATGTTAACCAAGACCTTTGGGTACTCTATAAGGAAGTGATTGTGCAGTGTTGGTTGCATCCTTTAATAAGGAGCAATAAAAGTGAGGAGAAATAGACATAAAGTAGACAGGGGTGTCTTTTAACTAAGAAAGAATGAAACTTTTTGAGTGCATGCAAAGGGATTCATATGCCTTCATCAAGAAGGAAGAAGTTAAGATTTTTTTGGTTCTGGCTAAGAAGAAACTCTTTGTCAAAATAAAGAATAGCTCTTATCTAGAATTTATTAATAGAGAGGTAAAGAGAGTAATTAACAAAGACTTTTCTTTCTTCACATCAATTCCTCATTTTTGTGTGAAGTGGCTACATTTTCTCTCAACTCTAGATAAAGTGATGTATTTGTCTATATAACCAACTTTATATGAAAATATTCATTATTGTGATAATCATTAATTTATGATTGTCAATGTTGGTGGTCGAATGATAGAAAATTTATAACTTCGTTCAGGCAACAATATTAGGATGATGGCTTTCGACAATTGTGGTCATCAACATTAATTATTGAGCAGAGCTCTCTCCAACTCTAAATCCAAATTTGTCTCAAATATCCAAACTCCAGATCAAGGTCCAAGCTCCTTCTATGTTACAAGTATGAATCTATATATTGTATTATCCTAGAGCAACATTTTGATAAATTAAGTTAAACTTTCAAAACACTTCATATTGATTGATTTTAATGGCGTACCTTTCTTTCACCATTTAAATTATTTAATAATATTAGAATTGAGTGATCTTATATTCATTAGATTTCTTATGAGAAGACACTCATTTCAACTATAAAAATACGAGATTAAGTTTTCATTTGTTATTTTAATTAATATCAAAATATTATAAACTGTACTTCAAATTTCTGATTTGGGCATATTTAGACTTGGGTCGAATCAGACGTTCAACTCAATTGTAAGCTTACAAAAATCAGTCCACATGGTTCTAGAAATAACTTTAAAGTTTTTATTTCAAACATGCATTGAGACTCGCCTTGATTAAGTGGATTCTAAGTTGATAAATTAATTATGAACTAATTTATTTGATAAAAAAAAAATTAGAGAAAGTCGTCTTAAAAGGTTTGACCACATTAAACGTCGACCATCTGATGATCCAATTAGAAGAGTAGATGTTTTAGATTCGACTTATGTTAGGAAAGACAAAGGTTGTCCTAGAAAGACTTGGGCTTATTGTATACCAAATGATCTCATTTATTAGAACTAAATGAAATCATGGCGCAATTGAGAAAAATGATTCACGCAGCCAACCCCACGTAGTGGGATTAAAGCTTTGTTGTGGTTGTTGTTGTTGTGTAACTTCTTTGTTTCACTTTAATTTTGTTAAAAAAAAAATGCCTTTTCTATCATGTAGAAGCCTTACTACTAAAATAGCAATACACGGTATAACCCTCTTGACTCATTGGTATGAAAGCATCATCTCCAAAGTCAATTACTTAAATCATTATTGATGTTTAATGATTTAAGTAATTATTTTATTCCTTTGTTTTTTTTTTTTTTTCTTAGATGCCAATATAATTCCCTTAGAATTATTTTACATTCTCCACGTGGCTGGGCCGACTAGTCAACTCCCCCCACAGCGATTTTGACTTATCATCTCCCTGCTTTGGTAGGCAGCTTAACTAATCCCTTCCTGAATCAGCCAAATGATTTCCACGTGTTGGAATCAGGCGTGTGAATTCCCATTTCATTAGACGAGCCGTAATCATTAAGCTTCGCAATCTTTCTCGATTCAATCTGTTCCGATGATGTGCATGCTCCGTCGGTAAAATCTGTCTTTTCTATTTTTATTTTTATTCTTAGAATATTACATGAGAACTTCGCACATAAAGCTACGTTTAAAATGTAATAATTAAGAATATCATGCTGTGTTACAAGAATATTTCATATGTGTTATTTATAAAAAATGAAGTATTTTTCGATTATTTTGCAGTATTATTGGAATATCCCCCCCCCCCCCCCCCCCCCCC